ATCAATACGGAGAGGAAGGCTTTAAGGGTGGTGCTCCAGGTGGCCCTGGTCCATCACAACCTGATGCCCAAGGTTACTACACTACTGGAAAGTACGTATCTACTACTACTACTATCACTAGTTTGTTGTATCTGCGTTGTTGTTCCTTATTATTAGCTTCCAGGGTGCTCCTCATGGTTTCCATTATACCTTCTCACGTGATCCCAATGATATGTTTGCCCAGTTCTTTAAGGAAAGTGTCCATCGAACTAATAGTTTTGGGGAAACACCATTTGGTAACGATACCTTTGCTGAGCTATTCTCAGGTAATAACAATAGTAGTACTACTAGGCTGATGATGATTATGATGATGCTACTACTGCTCCTCCTCATCATCTCCTTCATATTTCTAATCAATGCGAAACCTACATCCTCAATAACATTTTAGGTCTAGGTGGTGGTGGTGGAGCTGGTCGAGGCCAGCCTGGTAATGATGCATCGAGCACTATGGGCAAGAAGAGTAGGTTATAGGCACCTACTCTCTGTTAATGATGATGCTCTTTATCAATTCTAGGAGCTGTCGAATTCGACCTCAACTGCTCACTAGAAGACTTGTTCCACGGCACTGTGAAGAAGATGAAGGTGCTGGGATTCGAACCCTGGACGACCTCCAAGATTACAGTTTGTTGTCACCCTACAGGTACGCCGTGTAAGCCGAACTGTCCAACGACCTGATGAGAAAACATTAGAGGTGCCAATCAAAGCTGGTTGGAAGCCTGGTAAGTACTCTTACCTATAACGTTGTTGTTGTTGTTGTAATGGTGATTATGATAATGTGGATGTGATGTAGGTACTCGTGTTACCTTTGCTGGGGAAGGGGATGAGATCGGCAATTCTGGTAGATGTCAAGATATCGTATTCATCATTCGTGAGAAGAAACATCCAATGTTTACTAGGGATGGGTAATCACACCACTACTACTGCTATTATTATCATCATTGTTATCATCATCAGCTCCAACTTACTCTTCAACGCTAGTATAACTCTAAAAGAAGCTCTCTGTGGGTTTGAACTCCATGTACCGTCTATTGAGGGTGACAAGGCGATTAGGTAGTAGTAGTAGTGGTAGTAGTGGTATGAAGAAGTATCATTTTTTCTACTTTAGGGTTCGTATCGATCAAGTGGTGACACCAGGATTCACTAGAGTGATAAGAGGAGCTGGTATGCCTATATCCAAACAACCTGGTCAACGTGGGGATCTTGTTGTTACCTTTGATATCGTATTCCCTAAGACCTTATCATCACAACAGAAAGAGATACTCAGGAAGACACTGTAATTCTCCCTATAGATAATAATAATGATTCCTGTTGAATGAAAAGTATTAAACACCGTATTATCACACTAACACTTCTACTATCATCACTTGTTGTGTTGATCATTATCATTGTTACGGGATTCTGTGTACTACTACTTGGGCATATCATAGGAAAGTTAATACTATTACTAGTAGTATTAGTATCTTATTTGGTCTCCTCCTGTATCATCATGATATCATCATTATCACGGAGACTACGACGACGACGGCGACGACGACGGAAGGAGCAACAACAGCAGTTGAGGAGGAGGAGTTGGTTGTTTATAATGATGGAGGTATTGATAATACTAACATTGGTAGAGTACTTAGGTGTACTGGTCACTGCTACTTCTACTAGTATTGCTTCTACTACTGTAGGGGTAAGTACTACTAGTAGGAGTCATGTGGTAATACATAATAATAGTTCTAGTGAGGATACAGTAGATAATGGTAATTTTACGACACCAGCCTTCTCTTGTGATGCCAGTACTACCAGTACTACAACTACTACAACTACGACTACTACTACTACACCACCAGTGACCTTATATTGCCCACAGGGATATTGCCTTGATCCTAAGATGCATGATAATCTTACTTGTATTAATATGTTACCATCTGAGATGATAGATTGTTGGGATAATTATTGTTATGGTGTTGGTGATGAATATTGTATGGCTTGGAATAAAGGGAGTGGTAGAGTTTGCCATGGTACTACTACTACTCTATGTCAGTGTACATTCTTAGTAGTAATACAAGCACGAATAATAGTAGGATATATACCACCACCACAGGGATGGATACAAGCTCAGGTATGTGATTATAGTGGTACACAATATGGTCCTATAAGTAGTACCACTACTATCAGCCCTATCGGTGATGATGATGATGCGTCTGCATCGAATAGTATATCCTTACCAATGCTATTACCATGGTACCATATCGTTATATTGCTCATTATCTCAGCTTTTCACGCTGGTATGGTATAGTGCATCATCATCATTATCATCATCCTACGTTCAGTCACCTATGCGCTCCTCTCATTATTTTTGCAACAACTCTTGGTCAGTGTTCGTGCAAGACTGCTGATGATGCTGTTGTTTTCTTCTTCTTCTAGTACTGCTCTGAACTTCTTTCTCCAATAGTCAACTCATATGAGCCTATTCTGTTTTATGTTGGTAGTGAACAGTGTTTATCCTTATAACCGCTACACTCACTACACTCGCTATCATCATCATCATTACCGTGCCTTATACAACTTGATACTATACCAAGGTGGTAGTGTTCATCATGTTCATCTTGGGGGTATTTCTCTATTACAACAGTCTTAATATTATAATGTCATCATC